ATAAAAAAAAAAAAAAAAAAAAAAGAAAGATTCCTCCTTTTGCCAAAGAAAAAGAAAGCCAACCTATTTGCACAAAGAATGGCAAAAATAGCGTGAAAGGAATGGATATGCACACCTGCATGTACACGTATGTGTATACACACACACTCTATTATCATTAAACTAGCTACAGACGCAGGACCTGTTAAAGCATCTGTGACTTGATAGCAGGTTCCAATACAAAATATGTCACTGACCTTGTTTAGATCTGGGACATTTACTTTTTTCTCTTTTTTTTTTTTTTTTTAAATTCCCACTGTTGGTAACACCAATTCAGGTAGTTAGACGCAACTCAACGCCATTTTCATTCTGATCTTATCCAGTCCCACTACAGTGAGTCTAATTGATTTAGTGCTGTAAACACTCCAAGGCATCAGCACACAGGCAGGCTGTATATACACTAAAGTAAATCATCAACTGGGCCTTTTGTACTGAAGAACTGATTGCAGGTCTCTGTACTAGCGACCTTCAAAAAAAAAAAATCAGCTTTGATTTGCCATAAAGCCATTAAGATCAGAAAATCATAAAAATGTAGGACATGAAAGGATCTCAGGAGGCAGGATACCTAGACCATCCCTTATAAAGCAAGAGATATTATCTTTATCCCTCAACAGACAAGCAGCCAATCCACTTCTTTCACCATACGCTCCACAGGATCACCCAGCCTCTTGCCCTAGCCTCCACAGCGCTCCATAACCTCCCTCGTTATTAGGTTTGGCAGGATTCTCTCTTTACATTGGTAAACGTTGATAAATGTCGATTTCACCTCATGCTCAGACCAGCAAAAAAATATTTCCATCATTAATAATCAAAATATATAGAAAGTGGACATAAGAAAAATTATGACTGATGGAGTGTGTGATGACACAGGGAGCAGTCCTACAGACCCCTGTTGACTGCAGTTCGAACTGCAATTCCCAGGAATCCCAGGGGACTGGGAACAAAAGAAGAGGAAGTGACAAAGTGGGCAAGGGAGCTATGGGTGAGCAGAGCCTGGACTGATGGCAGCTCTGCTGCTCAGCTGGTGGCAGCCCTACACTAGTTACGTTGCTCGTGGCAGTCAGTTAAACACAGTTAATTTTGTACAATCCTGAAAATTTAAAATTTAAAAAAATATAACTATATGCTTAAATATAAACATTGCTATTACTTGTCAATAATTATTTAAAAAAAATAAAAATGAAATTCTGCCAAGCCTACTCATCATCTTCACTTTGCTGCCAATTCTTAGGTCCTGAGCCAGAAATCTGAATTTGTTTCCCTCCATGCTATAACTTACATATCCTTCCAGTAAAGCCTCTGTTCCAACTGTGCCATTTAACTGAGGAACTACTGAGGATTTACTCTTGCTCTAACAAGTGACAGCCAGTCTGTTTGGGCTGAGTAGACAGGGCTATGAAGCCTACAATAAAACTAATTGCCAATACCCCCCATTTTCTAAAGTTATTCTCCCTAGTAACTTTATCTTAATTATATACTATACCTTATGGACTTTCAAATGACCATAAACTTAGCAAATAGTTTTTAATAATTTATTAAATTTTCCATTTAAATGATACATTCTCTAGGATGACTCAAACAACTTCCTGGTAGTTTTATTTACAGTCTGCAGCCAGTTCTGTAAAACATAAATGATTACAGACTAAAACACACAACATATTTTCAAACATTTAAATAGAAGCACATTTTATTCCAAAGTAAATTCTACACACTACCTTTTCCATAAAAATATAAAAAATAGTTTAATTACTATATTTTACCCAAACCATTTTTTCACATATGAGGGCCCCCTCCCAAAAAAAGGGAACTCTGTCAATAAGAAATTTAAAAGGAGACCGCATCACAAGTTAAATGACTAATGCCAACTGCTTAGTTTACCACAATAGCAAATTAGTTCCATTTAACAACTAGCAAGAAATATCCTGCAGTATTTTTTTTTGCCTAACTTGTACCTTCCATGCTAGTTTTTTTTTTTTTTTAAATACAGATACATACACACTTTTATTTAAAAATAATGGACAGATCCAAGCAATCATTTTATACTGCAGACTATACTGCCAGTCATCATGTGCCCAACAACACAAATTGGCAATCTTACACTACACAACAGTTTTTTGCAAAAATAGTAAAAGGGAAACATTTTCCTTTTGGGAGCTATATTTAAAGGTGACTTATTTACCAAACTCCAATGAAAATAACCTTCTTCTCTCTCCTTGAAAATAGTGCCTCATTTATGTTACTATCATTTTGCTAGGTTCCTTGACCGATATTTTTGTGTAGATGGCTGCGCGAGTCATGAAAAAACCCACACTAGCTCCTCTCATTAGCATACATTTAATTCATAAGAAAGGCACAAGGATGAGTCTCCTAAGCAGCAACAGTTATTGTCCTCCCCCCATACCCTGTCTTATTCAGATGCTGCTGGTGCAAGAGACATTCTTTGTCTCCGAGAATGTTACTGTTCCATGAGCTCAGAAACAGGCCAAGTTGAAAACACTAAAGCCTTTGTACAGTACAAACAGCAAATTTATCTCCAACAAATTAGCTGTAATAAAAATTTTATATGTTGCAATTAATATCTGATCTGAAACATCAGGAAAAGCCGTCTGAGAAAAGCTCAGCAGCAAAGTATAATATACTCGTTAAAAAGGGGGTGGAAGTCACCTTCTGTGCAATGCCGCATTCAGTTCTGAGATATTCTAGCACTTTGTGGCCAATGAGGTTAGAAACTGTCATTCTGCTTCCTCCCCCAGCTAGTTTATAAGATTTCCCAAAACATAAATTAAGCTGCTGTAAATGCAGAGTTGGTATATGAAGTGCACAGCATGATCTGAAACAAGCTTTTGCTTTCCAGCATGTAAACAAGGGTTACTGGGCCTTAGAGTTCATATAATCAGATCTGATGATAGATTCTTAAACTAAAAAAGTAAAATTTCCTGTGAAAGGATTGACCACAAAAATACTCTTTCAGTAAGTCTCACTTGCCATTTACTAACTTTAGGTCCTACGATCTAATTTGTAAAACACTTAGAAAGTTTTTTTTAACTGTAGAAATATTGACCAGTTGAACTGTTTGGCAATAACGTATTCAAAACCTCCTTGGAAAATGACATTGTCATCATTCATAACAACAGTCCTAAATTGTACCACACTATTTCTTCTTTTTCTTCTTCGGTGGTTCATCCTCAGAGCTACTGTCTGTGCTGGTGCTGCTGCTACTGGAGGAACTAGAATCTGACTCGAAGTCTGAGGAAGAAGAAGAACTACTTGAAGATGGAGAGGATGAGGAAGTGGAAGAGCTTTCATCACTGTCACTATCATCGGACGAAGAAGTAGTAGAGGAATCTTCACTCTCTGATGAAGACTCACTAGCTGAACTGATGCTGCTACTGCTGCTGGAGCTAGTCACACTCTTAGACCTGCAAGAAGTATTAAAAGGATAGATGAGAGGCTCTCCCCCCTACAGTGGTCACCAGACAGACCTACTGTAGCTAAAACTGCACCACAATGTTTACACAAGCTCAAAAACATTCACCTTTTGGGCTGAAATTTTCCAGACCTGATTCTGCCTGAAGCAGGCTTTTCCTCCCCATTCTTGTTTCCATCTTCAACAATTACCCCTTACCTATTTTAATAATGGTAAAGTGAAAATATATACACGCACCCCAGATATCATTAAATATTCTGACAATCCTTAAAATGACAAAACAGAACTACAGGAAAAAAGAGGGGGTTTACATTTTGGGACTAGGATGTCATCGTTACTGAGGGCAGGTATCTTTACTTGGTGAATGCATGCATTATGCAATTATGCGTCATTAAGATTTTAACACACAACTGGAATCTTTTTTTCCAACTCAAAAATACTGGGGTGGAGGATGCCCACTGTGGGAAATGGAATTCAGATTATATTTAATGCAGATGAGGTATTTTGAATAATCTGGATCAATTACACAGACAACTGGGTGGGTACTTAAAAGCAACATCTAAAATCCACGTGAATGGGATGCTAAGGGACAATGCAGAAAGAGGAAACAGCTCTCTCATTTCAGATGAAATAGTCAGTTACATTACTTATAAAGAGACATCAACTTTTGGGGCAAACCTTTAACTCAGAGCAGGAAGGGACAAATACAGCTTAGGTGACGTGAAAAAAGCACTATTTCATAATGCTCTAGAATATTTATTTCAAAATATGACAAAGTTTTCTTCCTTGCTGTGTGATGCTTTTGGTGCCTTCCAAATAGATTTTGTAATTCTACTGCAACAACATACCAATAGCATCTGTTTTATATAAGGCGCACTAAATTAGGTAGGTCTCCGATACTGCATACTGGACCTGATCACATTAGGCCTGGGCAAAGCAGCTAGTATTCACTTTGGATTTGGCCGATTCAGGGGACAGTGATTCGATTTGGTGATCTGAATCACGGTCCCAAATCGATTCGGCCAAATCCGATTCGGAGATTTGGCTGCCGACGAATCAGCTGAATTGCCAAGCCAAACAGGTCCCCATACCCCCGCCAGCTCTCCCTGCCCCAATGGCTGCCCTGCCTGGCCCCAGCTCCCAGTTTAAAAAAAAAAAAAAGCCCCACACTCGCAGGCTCCTGCCAGGCAGGGGCACGATCCCTGTTGCCCCCCAACTGCCCTTTGTTGTAGGGGGGGCTCTGCCACAAGCACCAAGCCTGCTCTCCCATGCCCGCCCCCCCATGGCTGCCCAGCCCCAGCTCTTAAAAAAGCCCTGCACTCACCAGCTGCTGCAGCAGCCATCAGGGCTTCTGGGGGCTCATGGCAGACCGCCCCCCCCATGCAGCACAGGGCAGTGTGGGGCAGCAGGGATTTGTGCCCCCTCCCCCCGCAAAGCAGAAGCCAGTAAGTGCGGGGCTTCCCCCACCCCAGAGCCAGGAGCTAGGGCCAGGCAGGGCAGCCATTGATGGGGCTGGGAGAGCAGGCAGGGGTCCCCCCATGGTTCTCTCTCTCTTCCTCCAGCACCATTTTTTAGTTACTTGAAACATACTTAATACCCACCCAGCCAAAGAAAGGACTATTTTCACTATTTAAGGGAAGGGTACACAGAGGAACAACTGGGGACAAAGAATTAAAGTTTGGAGATTAGGAGAAAGTTAAATCATGCTACATTATATGCATTTCTGGACTATAAGAGGTTAAACACAATAAAACCCTATAATTTTTATTTCCATTTCCAACACGCCCTCTTCCAAATAATTTATCACAACTCAGTGCAAGATTAGGCACTGCACTGTATAGTTTTCATTATTCCCCACATACCTTTTTTTCTTGTTCTTCCTTTCTGCAGTACTTTCTCCAGTGCTAATTGAAAGGGGGAAAAACAATGGCTTTGATTAATGCAGTGGGAAAGGTTAAGTAGATAAATGTACAGTGAAGCCAAGGTTTATACTAGAAAATCATCATCCCACTGAAAAGAAAAAGGTGAGCAGTGTGTTGTAATGATTCCAACTGAACTTTGGCCATTATATCTGCTCTCAGCTGGCATTTTACCTTTTGTGTTAAATGTGTCATATTTTAGATGCCCCTCTCTATTTTTAAAGAACACTGTCATTTTGACAAAAAGTGGGCAAAAGTTAATTTCACTTACATTAGCAATACCTTATATTTTTTTAAAAACAAAAACTTTTTAAAATCAAATTTAGTTTTCAACACAAATACAGTGACCAATGTCAATCTAAAGACAAACTAGTCCATTTTTACTCATGGTTTCTAGCCATTTCCCTTTCAGGTTCTCATGCATTCACAAAGATAGAGAGCTTGGATTCTAAAGGAAAGCTTCTTTAACAAACACTTTCCTTTGGCGTTATAAATATCCCATGGAGATATTCTGATTGTTCTTACTATTCAAAAATCCTTTTAACAAAAAAAAAAAAAATCAATTGTGGGCCAAGTTGCCCCTGAGCACTCCATTTCGTCTTCCTGCCAACAGCAGGACAGCACCAAAGCCTCCGTTCAGCAAAGTATTTATGCACGTAAGCAAACTCATTCCTGGTTAGAAAACACTTAAGCATGTGCTTTATTTAAAAATGCCTAATATCCCATTCACCTCTTTGGGGCTCATATACATGTACTTCAGGTCTTTCTGGAACAAGAATTATGTCCTTTAAAAAACAAAACTCAAGGCTCAATAGTATGAAAAAACAAAATACAAGTAAAAAAACCTCTTCCTGTGTTTTACAATCCAGTTACTCACATATCACTTAAAAGATGAACATGTAAAGGTTTTACTTGGAAGAACTTGTCCACAGAGATTGCAAAAGCATGCTTCTTCCCTTTCTTTCTTTCAATGCAACTAGTGCTACATTTGCCTCCTCAAAAACCATTTTCCTGCTACCAGTAGTAACATGAAAAAGGAATGTAGAGTGCCTAATGTCACACTTCATGCAATACACTTGGGCATTTTACAGGCTCACTCATTCCCACAAGGGTTAAAACATGATATTTCTGGATATAAGAGTTTCCCTCATCCAGTCTTCTGTAGCCTAAGGGAAGATACACTGAGCTGTACAAGTCAAAAGCCAACAAGTCATAACCTACCTCTTCTAGTGAATGTTATTGTTCCTTGTATACTTCACAAGTGAACTGATCCAGACCCACGAGCCCTACTTTAGATGATGTACATCTACATCCTTTTTTACAGATAAACTGAGAAGCTGACCAGAGCTGGAATTAGTACCCAGATTACCCTTCAGAAGAAGTGGACTCAATGACATAAGATGGTCTAAGGCATCCTAACACAGAATGGATCTCTGTCCCTCTTTAGCAGTTAGCATACAAAGATTTACAAAACTAGTGCCTCCATGGAAACGTGAAAAGTCCTGTAACACAAGAGGAAAAAGGTTGTGTTTTTCAATCCAGATAGAGGCTCCATTTCTTTAGATGACCCAGACAGGTCCATCATTTCACATGGCAACCTTCTGCTGTATCATATTCTACCACTCTCAGAGCCAGTGGCATTATGACTAGGGGCAGAAGTTACACCTAAACCAGTTTAAGTTTTTACTTCAAAGTAATTGTTTAACCTAATGATAAGCAAACTGTCTTCCCCACTCCTAGCCACCTCTAAACACTGCTCCTCAGGAGAGTAACAAGTTTTCTGGCCACCAGTTTACTCCTCCAACTAAAGTAGAAGAAGTTTGGGGTGAGGCTTAGAAAGTTGGGGATCAAACTTAGCTGAGGCCTGAGAAGAAAAAATATTTGCAAGTTAGTGCCAGCCCCTGGGACAGCTGTGGCAAATTTTATATTGAAAAAACCCCTGAACCCTGGATTTGGAGATGCATTTGAATGTTGTGTTAATGCCTAGATTTTCATGTGAATTGTCCCTTCAATGAGAGGATGGAGGAAATACTATTGGTCTAAAGTGGCAGAGACTGCTTTTAAGTGCAGGCAAAGACAACCCTGCCTATGCAATTTGAAAAACATCAGAACTTTATTTAACAACTTTATCTTTACAGAAAAAACAAGCTTCACACTTGAAAACGTAACTTTAGCACTTGAAGGACTGGATGCTTCCAGGTTTTACTATTAGTTTCAGAGATCTTTTAACTTTAGGAAATTAGTGCAAACCCGATGGACAAAGTAGGGATTAAAAACATTATTCCCCGCTTGCAGTTAGTTAGTGGCCCCTATACAAGGTAAGTCTGAGGTGTCATAGGTCCAGCTTCCACATTACAAGATGATTATATTATGCACCAAGTGACAGACACAACAAAGAAATTCAGAAGTCACAGACAGTGAACTGCTTCTGCAGCTCCAAGATGAAGTTCTCCACAGAGGCGAGCTGGTGGGTGACATCTGTGAGATGCTTCTCCTACTTCAGATTTATAGATACACCTAGACTTCTAATTCCATCAGCTTGTCATGAGCACTGAATTCATACTCCTTTCTTCATATGCAGCTGGAGTACAAAGTTATGTAGACTGATTACAAAAATGCAAATAAATTAATTAGCTTGCATATAATGTCACATCAAGCTGCACAAAACTTGAAAGTGATCAGCCTAAAACCTGTAAAGCCTCTTTATTGTTCAGTAGTTGTGATACTGTTTGCCAATAAAGAAGTCAGTATGTGTATGCCCAGGATGTAGATAAGTGTGAGATGTCTCAGCATCACAATACGCTGAACAAAGCACATTCAGGTTATAAACAATTTGGTCTTTTAGAAACATTTACTCTTTCTAGTAAAAAGAAAAAACAAACAACTTTTCAATTCTTCCATCCTCCTTTTACTCGCAACACTTCTGGCAATGTTTAACCATATTTACATTTTCAGCCTCAATTCACTTCCATCTTCCAAACCTTCTATTCTGCATTACTTGATACGCTGAAGAGATGGCAGCCAGGAAACGTTTAAATGCTGCCTCAAACTGTAGTAAACGTAACACCAAAGTGCATGATCTTTTTGTCCCAGGAGACTACATGACCAGAATTACTGAGTTGTGAAAGTCCTTGTTTCAAATCCCGCCTTCCACCTAAACCAATAATTATTCTCTCACTAGCAGAATCAGGGTGAAAACACTGTTTCATGATGTCAGCCCACCTCAGACAACTGGACTTGTTTGCCTCTGTAAGAACAGATTGCATAGATTTGGCTATTTAATAACCAAGACTACCGTGCGTCAAGAGTTGAGAACGTTCCAGATGACAACTGCTCCAATTGGGCCCCTGTGTACATATGCATATGTTTAATTAAAAGCCAAAAGAATACTCCCAATTTTTGCGTGCACTTTATCCCAACAGAAATAAGATATTCTGCATGCTGAATTAAGCACTCCTGTCCAATTCCTTTTTCAAAAGGAAAGTATAAGTTTCTCAGACCACATCCATTCTCTTTTCTCCACGAACAAGAGAATTATTTAAGAAGTGCTTGATTTGAAAAGTCACTGTGATTTTGCCATTTATAATTTTCAAACTCCTAAACCGCTACATCAAAACCAATTACTAGAACACAAAAAGGTTAATCTCATCAAGGATCATCTTCATTCCAAATTAAACCTCTCCAGCCCCAAATTATTCCCACCTAAAACCTTTTAAAAAGTTGAGAAAATTTGTTGCGATAAGGAAGATTATTTTAAAAAAACTGCACCATGTTTGCTTAAACTTAAGCTTTACCTTCATGTAGAGAACTTGGCATGGAAAGTTTCAGCCCCAAAAGAAAAAGATTCAGAAACTAATAACCAAGTGATAAAGGGAAGGTGGAATTAGAATGAGAATGCATTAAACTATTTGGGTTCCAGTTGGCTGACAATATTAAGCATTTTGGTACTTCAAACAAGTCTGCACAACACAATATTTAACAGGCTTTAGTCCTTGCCAATGTTAACGTCTGTCCTCCCCACCCCCCACAACTACTGCTACTGATAGCAAAGTTGAACTCAAGCTGCAATGAAACTGTTGACAAAAGATGGTCAGCATAAAATGATATGGTCTGTCCTTTTATATTACTTTGATAAAACACAAATTGTTCAAATACTTAATTCTGCTAGCTGAGAGAATCAATCAGAAGAAGGAATTCTATCTATCTATAGGGCACTTGAAATAAAAACCAAAGCTTAGTATGATTTTTTTTTGCTTAGTTGTAGGTGGCACCAGTCCAGGTATCTCAGGTGGCAAAGCTGCAAACAGGTCTCTTAATCCAATGAGATGTACCACTGATATTTTTAGGGATAAGGAACTGACAGTACATGTTAATCCAGATCTTGTTCACCTGCTCATCTTTTATTCTTCATCACTGAATATGGAAAACCCATGTTTTGAATTATGCTCATTTATGGTTAAAGCATAAAAATGAAAGAATTGCTGAATTGGTCTCTAATTATGGCGGCTGCCTCTACACCACAAAAAAAGTACAGCAAGTTGTTCTCTTAGCTTAAAAACAATACTCTGCTATAGAGACCCAATTCCTCATTTTAACTGCACTGTCATCCTCTTGCTTTGTTTAATTGCATTATTGGCCTACATTAAGACAGGGAGAAGCTGCAAAATAAGCTGTGGATATAAGTAAGTATATCCCTCACCCCTCAACATAAAAACAAATCAATGAGTTAGGTGTGCAGACTGAAGACAACCAAAACAACACAACACAAAAAACAAAAACAAAAAACATACCAGGCCTCAGTCTTGCCTAGACACACACCATACACAATGCACTGCAAGCTTTTTGTTTAGCTGACCTTACCTTTGCTGCAGTAACAGTCGATGTTCTTTTTCTTTGAGAGTTTTCGCTAATTGTGCTGTCCGTGATGGTCTATGCAAATATTTTCTTTTTCCTGTACATTCATAGGTCCAATGGCCAAATTCCAAACATTTCTGACATCTCACATGCTGCTTATTTGCCTCCCTATAAAAATGCAGAATTGCTTAAGTGTAGGTTTGGAGTCAAGCACTATTTAAAGTTAGTGTATTTCAACATATTAGTTCTTGAGAACATATATCACTCCTGTTAATCTAAACTTCAAATGTCTGCTTCTTGTTACTGGCTCCTGGACATGGCTCAAGTCAGAACACGCCTGAGTTTTGCTGAGACTAGACAGGCATGGGCACATGCCAGTGTACAGTCACTTGCAGGATCATGGTCTTTTCTTCTCCAGAACCTGAGCAAAACAACACCCTTTCTGTCAAAATAAAAGCAAAAGTGCATCTGTCACTTGGGTGACACCCTGGCACACGGGTCACATTTTAATTCAGTAATTCGGACTGGCTGACCTCTTTCTCAGTCACTCCTAAATGCCAAAACACCCCATCCCCTTCAGACATTACCATCCGCATGACTGATGAAACCAGAAAAATGAAGCAACTCTTCAGTTATATCCAATGAACACAGATTGACTTTATTAAAAACAAATCTTCAACATTATTTCTGGCATCACAATTTGCATTCCTGGACCACGTGCTGGAAACATGGATACATGATAAGATCAACGTGAGTTGTACCCACTGTTAAGCCCTAACAAGAAGATGCACATGTCTCTTCAGCTTTCTTCAGGCAAGCAATCAGAAAACTGCCAATACAGTGATTCAGTTTGTTGCAGTGTTTTAGGAAACTTAATTCCCAAGCCCTGAGATTTAACAGTCAGACTAAATAGGACACTGTGTTCCTTGTGAGAGAGATCCTACTATGTCAACTGACAATCAGTGACTTTCATCACAGAAGTGCAGATACAGCATGGCAGATTCAAGGTAGCATTTCAGTCTTTCTATCCCAAGCCTGACCCCATTTCTGCTTTCTTGTGCATATGGTTCTCTAGAACAGTGGTTCTCAACCCTTTTCGTTCTGGGACCCATTTGCAAAGATCAATGGCTTGGTCCACCCCCACAGGCCTTGCTGGTGCTTGATCCACAGCACCCCATCCCCCTCTGCCCTGCCACAGCCTTCGCACCCAGCCACCTTTTCCCAGCCGCCATCAGGCACCTGCCCCCCTCCACACCCATCCGCTCCACATATGCACACATGCAAACACTGCCCGTTCCCCACCCTGGCACTCCCCAGTCCTCCAACCCCAACTCCTCATACGCTTACCTTCATCCGGCTGCTGGGGCTGCTCCCACGACCCTGCCTGGCTGCATACTGGCCATGCCCCAAGCAGCCCCTTGCAGGCTGGCAGCGTTCCAGCCTGCAAGGGGAAACCTGAGCTTTCGTGTGTTTTTCTGGCATTTGCTCACAAGCCTTTAAAATAATCTTGCGACCCACCTTTGGGTTGCGACCCACAGGTTGAGAAATGTTGCTCTAGAGCACACTAACCCACTTGGGAAGGAGCATAAAGTACCAATTTGTTGTGCAAATAAGTTCAAGCCTAAAGCAGTACAGTTTTGCAATAGTTTGCTAGAATTTACAGAGGAATAAAGACTTCCTTTTCAGGTTAACATGGGTTACAGAAATCTATGTCACACTCATCCAACAAAAGGAAGTTCCCTCTGGTTTCCACTGACACACAAAGGCATGTAAAATTTATGCCATTTTATTCTTCCTCTGATTCTCTCATTTACTTCAAGAGAAACTGTTTTTACAGCACTTTGAGACCACATCAATCTTCTCTAAATGCCTATAAGGATTGCCCTCATTTTACATATGAGGAAAGTGAAGCAGTGAGGTTAAGTGATTCAGACAAGGTCATAACAAGAGTCATTGTCAAAGTCAGGATTAAAATTCAGAACTTCCTAACATCCAGTCTTCTACTTAGCTTACTGTACAAACTCTCCCTTTTATCATTCTTCTTTCCATGGAAACCTGGAAAAGCGCAGGCTCGGGGTGATCTGGTGGCCACCTATAAGTTTATCGGGGTGCTCATAAGGATCTGGGGGAACGTCTGTTCACCAGAGCACCCCAAGGGATGACAAGATCGAACAGTCACAAACTCCGCCGCAACCAATTCACGCTGGACATAAGAAAGAACTTCTTTACTGCCCGAGCCCCCAAGGTTTGGAATAGACTGCCGCCGGAGGCGGTTCAAGCACCCACTTTGAACACCTTCAAGACACATTTGGATGTTTATCTTGCTGGGATACTATGATCCCTGCTGACTTCCTGCCCCTGGGGCAGGGGGCTGGACTCGATGATCCTCCAGGGTCCCTTCCAGCCCAAATGTCTGTGAAATCTATGAAACTCGCTCTGAAACCTCAGGCCATTCAGACCCTCTGAAGGTAACAGGCTTGTGCTGCAAAGAGGCACATTCCTAAATGCACAGTTAACATCCAGAGACAGTGAAGAGCTGTTAGTACTGACAAACATTTCAGTTTGGCAATGAGCTGAATGTTGCCATTCGAGGCAAATTAAGAGTTGTGTTTCCATTGGCCTTTGTCATCACTTAAGACTCCCACTTCTGTCACATTTTTAATAGCAGTCTTGCACATAACATCCACCACACTCTAGGCTAAATTTCCTATTTCATATCGCAGCCTTGAAAAATGGTGCCGACTGAGATTCAGTGGGGAACAACTAAAACTTGCAATTAACGGCAAACAATTAACTTTAATTTCAACTGGGAACAAGTACGCTTAATAAGTAGGTTGAACAGGAGTCAAGGGCTTCTGAAAGGTTTTTAGAAGTTTCTCTCTCCCACTCATCTCCCAAAAGAAAGCTTGGACAAAGAACAAAATTCATCCAGACTCCCTCAAGAGAATGCCCAGGGAGACTGCACTTGACTAGGCAATCTCCCCCTAGTCTGCTAACATGCTTCCAGATAAGACAACTTTTTATAAAGATGAAACTAGCATTCTTAGCTACAAAGTACAGCCAGTGCTTAAGTGATACACTAAATAGTCAAAGAAATATTTTACTGTCAGTCCCTAAAATAGCTTATGGAGTAAATAGTGTTTTGTTAATGTTACAATGCAAATCCGAATACAAGGTCATAATGAATCATTCTGGTGGCGAGATATCCCAGCACATTCAAAGATCTCTCCCTAACACTCAGGAGAAGGTTAAAGCACTTGAATTCACAACAACACACGGTACAAATACTAATGGGTAGTGAGGACTGTAATACTGCCTGCCCAAATCTTCGATACGGCTGCTTGCCCTGCATCAAGGTTAGTAAAGAGAGGACTTATTTTGCTGCATCAGCTCCCTTCTGACCACTAGGGAAGCCCACTGAGATAAAACTGAAGCCCAGCACTTTGGGCAAGAGACTGAGACAGGAAAGAACTGCTTCTCAGTTCATAACCAGGTCCTACAACAGGACAGGAAAGCGTTAGAGTCAAAGAGGGGGTGCATAATTGTTTGCAGGGAACATCTGCAACCTTGCCAGGAATCCATACTCTCCAGAGAGAACTTGAAAATCTGCCTGGGCTTAGATGCTGGAAATGGTAGCACTGACAGTCTTACTGTGATTAGCTTGACTGGCAGAGCTAATCAAATCTATGGACATACCATGATGAGTAAACTAGGAACAAATGGACTACTGCTGTTTGTCCGCCAACAAGCAAATGATGGAAGAGGAATGCTTGGAAGGAATTCTCACAGATGATGCCTGGGAAGTACCATGATGACAGACAAGAAAACAGCTGGCAAAGGTGCTTTGTTTTAGGAATTATGCTCCAACCTATCAATTTAGCTTTTAAAAAGTGTTTCAACAAAGGTAAGCATTAGAGACTTTTCCAGATGGAGTTTAACAGCTGCATTTATAGGCATCACTTGCATAGAAGATCCTGGTATAGTTTCTCATTGAGCTCATGGCCTATTTTGAACATTATGTAAAAATGAAATGGCTTAATAACCACACAAGTCAGGAAAGAAATGCTGAAAAGCAAAACCCTACTATTTTAAAAAGTGGCTTCTCCAGTTGCTCTCTGGCCTTCAAGTAGCCAGAAAATATTGATGGCGAGTCAGTGTACATGTGCATGGGGGCACACACACATGGAGGCAGACTTACAGCATAGCAGAGGCAGGCTTTCAGCCTAAGCACAGAATGGTTAACAACATATGAAAATATGACTTCTAAAGAAAAGTTGGAAGAATTGGGGCTATTTAGTCAGGAGAAGGGAAGACTACAGGTGAATTTGATAACAGCTTTCAAAAACAAATTAGGTTTTTGTAAAGGGGTGGTGAGACTAACTACTCTCTGCATCCACAGGGCACAAGTCGTAACAGTCTTAATCTGGAACAAAAGAATTTGAGTTTGGATGTTCGAATGAATATTCTAACTCCAAGGGTGATTAAACACTGTCACAGATCATCTCGAGAGTTGGCGCAATCTCCATCTTTGGAAGTTTTCAGTGCAGCTTAGACAAACATTTTGCCTGGATGATTCAGACAAAGACATTCCTGCCTAGAGCTTAGAAGTGGGCTAGCTGAATTTCTGCAGCCCTTCCAGCCCTAGATTTCTATGATTGTCATGATTCCGTCATATAGATTTTTTTAAAAACAAGAACCAAATTAGCCAGCCAATGATAAACAGACATGCAGAAAATGGTTTTTATAATCCACAAAAAACCCCCTGAGATTTCAAAGCTTTTCTTACTCCAGCCTGCAGCAAACCCAACCCCTTCAATAATGTTTGGTAAAGAGATGACAAAAACCATACAGAACATCCCAGAGATGTGGGTGCTCACCTGTAGCATAGATTCAATGCCCTACATTGCCCACTTCTGAAATGAGCTCCCTAACCACAAGACTATGAAGTCATTCACTCTCTCATTCTGACCCAATAAATGTGAACAGCAGAGCCTGACCTCAGAGGCCAATAGCCTGAGTTAGGACACACAGACAGGTTCAGGCCCCTTTCCTCTGTCCAACTGGATCCCAAGTGACTGCCTTTACACAGGTTCCTGGCTGCTCTACATTGGGTCTTTTCCCCAGTCTTCATCTGCTGAGACTAAGAAACCCTTTAAAACTGATACGTT